AGCCTCTTTTGGCTGCCGAGCCTCAGTTTCCCCACCTATAAAATGCAGACAGTGAGCCCTGCTCCTCCCTAGGGATCCTAGGAAAACTAAAGGACTTGGAGCAGTGGGCCTGGCCTGCAGGGGGCATGGGAGAGGTGTCCGCTGAGTCGCTGAGTCGCTGAGTGGGGGGATGCCGAGGACCCGGGAGGGGTCCGTGGTGGGGATGGCCGGGCGGGTGGGAAAAGGGCCAGCGGGCTTAGCCAGGGCCCCACGAGAGCTGCCTGATGCCATCACTGGATGTGCTTGTCATTCCTCCCAGCAGATGCTGCCGTGTAGGGACGTAATCCCGTGGCACGTGGCCACGTGGCTGGCGGCTTGAGCCTGCCGCCCAGAGACACTGGAGCCCAGCCCGGGCAGCTCTGTGCCACCTGCCATCCAGCCAGCACCTGCGTGTCCCAGGGGACTGGGCTCAGGGCGGACTCCAGGGACCTCACACTGGTCGCCTGACCTCCCGCAGAGGAGCTCTGGTCTCCCGGTCAGGAAAACAGGAGGGAGGGCAGGGACCCCAGCTTCGTTCATGGAGGAGGACGTGAAAGGGTCGCTCGAGACGCCACGGGCGCGTGGCCACCCCTCAGCAGTCGTCACTGTCTTTGTCATCGTCCTGAGTGTCAGGTGTGTGGGGCCCGGGCTAGAGTGAGGCCATGAGGCACTCACCTCGGGGGCAAAATCGAGGGGACGCCGAGAAGCCCGGCCATGCTGCTCAGTCACGTTTCCATGCAACCTTTCACTGCTTACGTGTACATATAAATAAACCCACGTATTTCCTATAAATATTTCTAAAAATTCCTTTTTTATTTTTTATTTTTTGAGATGGAGTTTCGCCCTTGTTACCCAGGCTGGAGTGCAATGGCGCGATCTCGGCTCACCTCAACCTCCGCCTCCTGGGTTCAGGCAATTCTCCTGCCTCAGCCTCCCGAGTAGCTGGGATTACAGGCACGCGCCACCATGCCCAGCTAATTTTTTGTATTTTTAGTAGAGACGGGGTTTCACCATGTTGACCAGGATGGTCTCGATCTCTCGACCTCGTGATCCACCCGCCTCGGCCTCCCAAAGTGCTGGGATTACAGGCTTGAGCCACCGCGCCCAGCCTAAAAATTACTTTTATAATATTTATGAGTTTATACATTATATTTATAAATCTATATATTTACAAATAAATACAAATACATATATTTATAAATAAACAAACAAATATATAAACATATATTTTAAAAGAAATATATAAAGATAAACAAATATATATATTTATAAATAAATATGTATATGTTATATAAATAAATATATATATTTAACACTGAGTCTCGCTCTGGCCCCCAGGCATGATCTCGGCTCACTGCAACCTCTGCCTCCCGGGCTCAAGTGACTCCTGCCTCAGCCTCCCAAGTAGCTGGGATTGCAGGCACCCCCCACCACACTCAGTTAACTTTTTCATATTTAGTAGAGATGGGGGTTTTGCCATGTTGGCCAGGCTGGTCTTGAACTCCTGACGTCAAGTGATCCACCCACCTCAACCCCAACAAAGTGCTGGGATTATAGGCGTGAGCTACCGCACATAGCCTATTTATTTACATATTTTTAAGAGACAGGGTCTTGCTCTGTCTCCCAGGCTGGAGTGCAGTGATGTAATCATAGCTCACCACAGCCTTGAACTCCTGGCCTCAAGCAATTCTCTTGCCTCAGTCTCCTCAGTGGCTGGGACTGCAGGCGCCCGCCACTGGCCCCACGCAGGGGACACTGCCATGAGATTGTTGGTTCTAGAATCCAGGGTAAAGTCCCCCATCCCAAACCAGCCCTGCCTCCACCTCACCGTCAAGTCCCTAAAGCGTCCCGAGATCAGGGGCTAGAAGCCCATTCCCAAACGAAATTACTTGCTTTCTTCTTTTTTTTTTTTTTTTTTTTTTTTTTTGGTGAGACGGAGTTTTGCTCTTGCTGCCCAGGCTGGAGTGCAGTGGCGTGATCTCGGCTCACCGCAACCTCCGCCTCCCGGGTTCAAGCAAATTTCCTGCCTCAGCCCTCCTGAGAAGCTGGGATTACAAGCATGAGCCACCACGCCAGGTGAATTTTGTATTTTTAGTAGGGACGAGTTTCACCGTGTTGGCCAGGCTGGTCTCGAACTCCCAACCTCAGGTGATCTGCCTCAGTCTCCCAAAGTGCTGGGATTGCAGGTGTGAGCCACCGTGCCCGGCCATGAGAGTTGCTTTCTGACTGCTTTCCCTCCCGAATAGATCACGGGGTATGTGGAAATTACGATACGATACTCTTCAACTGCCAATGGACCCACGACGGAACCATGAGGGAAATTAGAAATTACCCTGATGCAAAGAACAGAAACGCAACCTAACCCTCGACGTGTGGGAGAGAAGCCGCTGCCTGTGATCACCTGCAGGGAAAAGGGAGAAAGATCTCAACTCCACAACCTCACCTTAACACCTTAAGGCAGGGGTCTGAAACCCCTGGGCCATAAACCCGTACCTCCAGTCTGTGGCCTGTTAGGAACTGGGCTGGACGGCAGCGGGTGAGAGGTAGGCGAGTAAACCTAGGTTCTTCTGTATTATTTTTCTTTTTGAAACGGAGTCTCACTCTGCCGCCTGGGCTGGAGTGCAGTGGCGCAATCCCGGCTCACTGCAACCTCCACCTCCTGGGTTCAAGCGATTCTCCCAACCCAGCCTCTCAAGTAGCTGGAACTACAGGCACTCACTACCATGCCTGGCCAGCTTCTGTATTTTTGGTAGAGATGGGGTTTCATCATGTTGGTCAGGATGGTCTCGAACTCCTGACCTCGTGATCCGCCCGCCTCAACCTCCCAAAGTGCTGGGATGACAGGTGTGAGCCACCGCACCCGGCGCAGGGACCGTCCAGTTGCGGGAAACCAGCTCCCTGCTCCCACTGATCCCACATTACAGTGAGCTGTGGAATTACATTACAATGTAATAATAACAGAAATAAAGTACCCAACAAAAGTTAGGCGCTGGAATCATCCCCAAGCTGTCCTCCCCACTCCCCCACCCCCCACCTTCCCCAGGGGAAAAGCTGTCTTCCACGAAACCACTCCTTGCTGCCAAAACGTTTCAGGACGGCTTGCCTTAAGCAACCAGCAAAGTTAGAAGGAAGGCAGCCCCAGGCCAGCAGGAGGAAGGAACTTGTAAAGATCTGAGCAGCGATAACGAGATGAGAAAAACTGTTGAATCCACGAAACCAAAAGTTGGTTCTCTGAAAAGAGCTGTGAGATTGACAAACTCTTCGAGGGGCTGACCAAAAACAAAACCAAAAAAAAAAAAAAAAAGAAAAAAAAAAAAAGGAAGTAAGATGCAAATAATGCAAGCAGAAACGAAAGGGGGACATAACTATCAACCTTATGGAAATGAAAAGCATGAGCAGAGAACGCCGTCCTATTATGAACAGGTAGGACACCCAATGGGGTCACCTACGTGAAATGGGCAGATTCCTAGAAAAACAGGAGTGAAACAGATGGGCTGTGGTTTCGGGTTCCACTCCTATCTCTTAGATACTGATTCAGACGCCAGGATGCCGCTTAGCATTTATATATATAAATATATCTTCCTTCTTTATTTTAGAGACCTGGTCTCACTCTTTGCCCAGCCTGGAGTGCAGAGGTGTGATCACAGCTCACTGCAGCCTCCACCTCCTGGGCTCAAGCGATCCTTCCACCTCAGCCTCCCCAAATGCTAGGATCACAGGCATGTGCCACCACACTGGGCACACATACACACACACACACACACACACACACACACACACACACATACATATTTTAAGAGTCCATGTTTTCTTGCTCTGTTACCTAGGCTGGAGTGCAGTGGTGCAATTATAGCTCCAAATTCTTTTTATTAAAAAAAAAAAAAAATAGCCGGGCGCGGTGGCTCAAGCCTGTAATCCCAGCACTTTGGGAGGCTGAGGCGGGTGGATCACGAGGTCGAGAGATCGAGACCATCCTGGTCAACATGGTGAAACCCCGTCTCTACTAAAAATACAAAAAATTAGCTGAGCATGGTGGCGCGTGCCTGTAATCCTAGCTACTCAGGAGGCTGAGGCAGGAGAATTGCCTGAACCCAGGAGATGGAGGTTGCGGTGAGCTGAGATTGTGCCACTGCACTCCAGCCTGGGTAACAAGAGTGAAACTCCATCTCAAAAAAAAAAAAAAAAAAAAAAATAGAGATGGGGTTTCACCATGTTGGCCAGGCTGGTCTTAAACTCCTGACCTCAGGTGATCCGCCCACCTTGCCCTCCCAAAGTGCTGGGATTACAGGTGTGAGCCACCATGCCCAGCCTATATTATGTATATATATATATATAAAACATATATGTGTGTGTGTGTGTGTGTGTATATATAAATATATATATAAATATATATATATATAACATATATAATGTTTTTTGTTTTGAGACAGAGTCTGGCTCTATCTCCCAGGCTGGAGTGCAGTGGTGTGATCTCGGCTCACTGCAACCTCCGCCTCCAAGGTTCAAGTGATTCTCCTGCCTCAGCCTCCCGAGTAGCTGGAATTATAGGCGTCTGCCACCACACCCTGCTAATTTTTGTATTTTTAGAAGAGATGGGATTTCGCCCTTTCGGCCATGTTGGTCTCAAATGCCCGACCTCAGGTGACCCGCCTGCCTGGGCTTACAGGCGTGAGCCATCGCACCCGGCTGCTCTTATATTTTGGTATCTATATCCTTGTGCAATCTTTGCAACCTTCCTGCAGAATGGAGCACGTCATCTGCACGGCACACAGCTGACAGGAACCCACCCAAACAGGGCAGAGCTGCTGGAAGGGGATCTGGGATTTGAACTCAGGTTTCCTGGCTCTGAGCCTGGAGCCCTTTTACGGGATGACTCAGCCTCCCGATGTGTCAGGCACACATAAAAGACTGAGGCTTGTTTGTTCCTTTTTCTAAAAAATAAGAGATTCCAAGCCCGTGAGGTAAGAGAAAATGCCACATACCTTTTTTAGTTTCCCCAGGAATCGCCGCGTGCTGCACGCCCTGTTTAAAAAAGGAGAGAGAGAAAGAAGAGCGTGGTGACATATTTTTTACTTACAAGGAACTCACAGAGCTGCCTCCAGCTGTTCCTGGAGACCCATGCTGCTGGCACCAGAAAATGAAGCATGGGAATTCCAAATGCCCTCCGTGCCCTCCGGAGGAAGCAGGGGCAGGAGCAGCTTTATTCTTTACCAGCGATCCGTTCGGAAAACACATGGAAGTTTCTCTTGCAGGAAAACCGGGCAAACAGTCTTCTAGAAACTTGTGTTCATCCACTGCAGAACAAGGGGGCCCCATCCCCACCGTCAAAGTCCGGTCTATCAGACACACCAGTGCAGGAAAAACAAAACACCCCGGAGCGGAGCCTTCCCGTGGAATACTCGGGTGTTTTTCCATCTCTGATTTCCAGTTTCACGGAAGCCACGTGCCAGGCAGAGGGAGAGGTGGGAAATGGAAACTGGGGGCAAACAAATGAACCCCGAGTGGCGGAAGTGACAGGTATACCGGGCCAGGAGGTCACCGGGAAGGGAGGGACGGCTCCGTGGGCCTGTGACGGGTCTTGGGTGTGGGGCGGGCTCCGGGGTGTGGGGTGGGCCTGGGCCCTGTGGACCTGCTGTTTTCCACGGAACGGAATCCTCTGCTCCAGGCCGGACCCAGGATCGAGCCAGGCGCCACATCCATCTCTGCTGCAGAGGGCACAGACTGTGAGGAGCCATGGGGACCACCCTGATGGTCTTTCCTGGCTCCCACCAAGCCCTGGAGTGAGAGGCAGGCAGTACTCTGCGCCCCCAGCTCCAATGCGCCACCTATTTCGTGGACAGGGAGGCCCGAGGCAGGCAGAGCCTCCTGCCTTACTGAGCGTCTACACTGGCCGAGGTCACGGAGCCAGGGTTTGCACACAGCGAGGCCAGACGCCTGGTTCTGTGCCTCCGGTTAGGCCACGACTGCTTTGCTGCTGAGCCGCCGGCCCCACTTTGAGAAGCCAGGAGCTGGCCGGGCACGGTGGCTCCTGCCTGTAATCCCAGCACTTTGGGAGGCCGAGGCGGGCGGATCACTTGAGGTCAGGAGTTCGAGACCAGCCTGGCCAGCATGGTGAAACCCTAGCTCTACGAATAATATAAAAATTTAGCAGGTAGCCGGGCGCGGTGGCTCAAGCCTGTAATCCCAGCACTTTGGGAGGCCGAGGCGGGTGGATCACGAGGTCAAGAGATCGAGACCATCCTGGTCAACATGGTGAAACCCCGTCTCTACTAAAAATACAAAAAATTAGCTGGGCATGGTGGCGTGTGCCTGTAATCCCAGCTACTCAGGAGGCTGAGGCAGGAGAATTGCCTGAACCCAGGAGGCGGAGGTTGCGGTGAGCCGAGGTCGCGCCATTGCACTCCAGCCTGGGTAACAAGAGCGAAAACTCCGTCTCAAAAAAAAAAAAAAAAAAAAAAAAATTAGCAGGGCATGGTGGCGCACGCCTGTAATTCCAGCTATCCGGGGGGCTGAGGCCGGAAAATCACTTGAACCTGGGAGGCAGAGACTGATGTGAGCCAAGATGGCGCCACTGCGCTCCAGCCGGGATGACACACTGAGACTCTGTCTCAAAAAAAAGGGAAAACAAAGGAGAAGCCAGGAGCTGCCGCGCTCTCAGCCCTAAGGGGGCCCTGTCCAGCGCAGCGGGCTTGCCCGGGGAGGTCAGCGGGCCCAGCTTCCTGAGCTGCTCGAGGCCGGGCTGGGCCGGGTTCACGTGGCCCAGGCTGTTTCCCTCCTGCCCTGACGGTCCCCTGTGGTCCCCGAAGCCGGCCCAGCCCCTCTTCCTTCACAAACATTTGCCGTTTCCACAAACCAATGGGGTTTTTTCCACTGACACAAAGAAGAGCCACGCGGCCGATGCTCGTGGGCTGGAGTCAGCTGGAGTCGGGGCCACGCACACAGTACTCTTTCTCAGCAGCCCTGCCCCCCCAGGGCTGCGAGGGAAGCCAAGGACGCTGAGGTCGGCGGGAGGCCTCCCACCCTGCAGCCCAGCGGGGGAGGCCGAGTCCTGGCTGTCCCAGAGGCTCCAGGGTCTCAGCTGCAGGGAGGAGGTGGCTGCAAACGCCATTCGCTTAAGCCAGGGCCTCTCCCCGCACCTAGCATCAGGGACACCAGCGCCAGATGGTTCTCTGGGGCGGGGCCATCCTGGGCTCTGAAGGGTGCTGAGCAGCATGCCTGGCCTCTGTCTGCTCCATGCCAGGAGCACCCCCAGATGGGATGGCCACAATGTCCCTAGACACCGCCCAGGGTCGCCTGCGGGAGCAAAATCAATCCGTGTGAGAGCCTTGACCTCTTAGTGACCTATAGACAGCAAGGGCGCTGCCTCCCCTCCGAACTCTAGACACAGATGCACATACACACACACATACACATACACACACACGTACACACACACAAACATGCACACAGACATGTGCACACACACGTGCACACATTCACATGCACACAGACACATGTACACACGTGCACATGCAGCACACATGTACACACATTCACACTTGCACACACGTACACAGACACACAAATATGCACACATGCACACAGACGTGCACACATTCACACACACACGTGCACACACAGGTGTACACCTTCACAGGCGCACACACGTGCACACACAGATACGTGTACACACATTCACATGCGCACACGGACACGTGCACACAGACACGTGCACACATTCACACACACATGCACACAGACGTGCACACGCACATACACACGTGCACACATTCACATGCACACACACGTGCACACACAAACGCACACATGCACAGACATGCAGACACGTGTGAACATACATTCACATGTGCGTAGACACGCACACACGTGTACACAGAAATGTGCACACACAGATACTTGCACACACACATGCATGCATAGTTGCACCAGTGCACGCACATAGCCACATATGTGCACACACGCACAGGCACACTTGCAAACACACAGGCACACACACGCACCGGAGCGAGAGCCTCCACCCAGTCCTGCCTCTAAAGCAGGGCCCTGCTGGTGAACACGCACAGACTCAGGATTTTCCTCCCTCCTGCCCGAAGGCGCCTTCACTGCAGAAGACTCAGAAAGGCCCTGGCTGGCCGGGTCCAAGGGATCGTAGCACCGTGCCGCCGTAGAGAAAGAAGGGAAATTAGACTTCTGACCCGTCACAAACTGTGAGTAAGAGCGATGACTCCAGGCCAACCCGGTGTGACCTCAGCTCCTGATCCATAGAATCAGGACAGTGGCCGAGATGCTGGAGCCACCTCACCTGCACCCCCGGGTCAGCCGCAGAACCCACAGGACTTCCACCCCGCCCCAGGCCATGGCCCTTGACTAGGGAACCACAGCTCCTCATTCTGCTGGGGTGACTCGGTGTGCTTCTCTCTCAAGCTTGCTTTTAGGTGGCTGGAAATAATCGCTTTTCATCAGCACGCTATATAATTTTCATCATCCTTGCCATCGATGGGTGCTGTCTTTTTTTTTTTTTTTTTTTTTTTTCCCTTTGACACAGGGTCTGTCACTCAGGCTGCAGTGCAGTGGCGTGATCACAGCTCACTGCAGCCTCAACCTCCTGGGCTCAAGCGATCCTCCTTCCTCAGCCTCCTGAGTAGCTGAGACCACAGGTGCACGCCACCACACCCAGCTAATTTTTATTCTTGTAGAGATGAGGTTTTGCCATGTTGCCCAGGCTGGTCTCAAACTCCTGGGCTCAAGAGACGCTCCCACATTGGCCTCCCAAAGTGCTGGAATGACAGGTGTGCGTCACTGCACCTGGCCAGCAAAGAGGTTTTAAAGGCAGAGGATCAAACTACGTATAGAACCTCAATTTTTAAAAATAAGAGGGTGTGTGAGGAAAAGATAGAGTGCCGGGGTGGTGGATGTTCCTTTCCTTATGTGATTTTCAGATTTTGTAAAATTCAGTTATACAGTTTTCTTTCTTTCCTTCCTTCCTTCCTTTTTCTTTTTCCTTCTCTCTCTCCTTCTCTCTCTCTTTCCTCTCTCTCTCTCTTCTCTCAGTCTTTGACAGATTGTTGCTCTGTCGCCCATGCGGGAGTGCAATGGCGCGATCTCGGCTCACCGCAACCTCGCCCTCCTGGGCTCAAGCAATTCTCCTGCCTCGGCCTCCCGAGTAGCTGGGATTACAGACACCCACCACCACGCCTGGCTAATTTTTGTATTTTCAGTAGACACGGGGTTTCACCACATTGGCCAGGCTGGTCTCAAACTCCTGACCTCAAGTGATCCCCTCACCTTGGCCTCCCAAAGTGCTGGGATTACAGGTGTGAGCCCCCGCACCCGGTCAGTTATTAGTCACAAAGAAGATATATATATGTATGTATATATAGACACACACACACACTTACACACATAGACATATACACCGCCGATTTGATTCTCATTATTTGTGGTGGTTTTGTTCTGTGAAGTCATCACAATAGCTGAGTTTGTGAATTCCGAATCACGACACCTAGAGAATATTCTTGCAGGGTTAGTTTCCTTTGAGTTTCAGGAAAGTTTCCTTTGCCTTATCTGATCAATACATGACCTTGTTCTGTGTGTTTCTTTCTCACTCTGTCACCCAGGCTGGAGTGCAACGGTGCAATCTCGGCTTCCTGCAGCCTCAATCTCCTAAGCTCATGGGATTCTCCTGCCTTGGCCTCCAGAGTACCTGGGATTACAGGTGCCCGCCACCACGCCCAGATTTTGTATTTTTAGTAGAGACGGAGTTTCTCCGTGTTGGCCAGGCTGGTCTCAAACTCCTGACCTCAGGTGATCCGCCCACTCCAGCCTCTCAAAGTACTGTGATCACAGCGGTGAGCCCATGCACCTAGCCTAATTTTTGTATTTTTTTTGTGGAGACGACAAGGTCTCTCTGTGGGATTCCAGGCAGGAGCCCCCATGCCCAGCCTGGTGCTTCCTTTTAAAGGTGCCTTCTTGGCCGGGCGCGGTGGCTCATACCTGTAATCCAAGCACTTTGGAGGCCAAGG